CAAAAGCCAAGTGTTGCCCGCCTGTCGTCTCAAGTCAGGGGAGGTAAAGACAGAGGACCTCCGGGCTTGCTGGTCCAAATCAAAGAGCCCCAGGTTCAGTGAGAGACTTGGCCTCAAGAAACAAGATGGAACCCAGTGCAGCGGCACACGCCTTTAATCCCAGCACAGAGAAGGCAAAACCATGTTGGTCTCTTAAGTTCTAAGCCAGCCTGGTCTATATAACAAGTTTCAAGCCAGCCAGGATAGGTAGGTAGATAGATAGATGATAGATAGATAGATAGATAGATAGATAGATAGATAGATAGATAGATAGATAGATAGATAGATAGACAATAAGGAACATTGAGGAAGACACCCAACATGACCTCTAGCCTGTACGTGCATGCACACACACACACGGAACACACAGAAACTGTAACCATTCACACACTCACACTCACACGTGCTTTTCTATGAGAGATTTCCTTTATTAGTTTTCACCCCCAACATCACCACCCCCATTCCAGGGTCCTCTGACAATTACAGCTTAGGATCACGGGGACTTCCCATCAGCTTCCACACTAGGGCATCTACTCCCAGGACCCTGAAGGATATGAGCCTCCCCTCTACTTTTGGAGGTCTGGATGGCGGTATCCAAACCACATCAGATTTACATAGATGGTAAGCCACGAACGGGCGACAACACACCCGCAGTTCCCGATACAGGGGAGGCTGAGGCAGGGGGATCATCACTTAAACCCAGGACTTGGAGCCCAGGCTTGGTGACAGAGCATAACCCCAACTCAAAAACAAAAACAAAACCAGCCGATGGAAAGAATGGAGGTCTGTCATTGTCATATCGTGTGACTTTCAGACAAGATCACACAGACTAAACCAGACAGACAAGAGGACAATCAATTACTCTCACGAGACCTGATGAAGATGAACGGGAGTGCAAGCCGGCCTGTAGGGTCTGCAATGGAAGATCTGAGGCGGGGGTTGGGGGTTGGGGGGAGAGAGACCTGCCTGCCTGCCCTCAGGAAACTGGACTATCTAGTTTGGTAAAGGGCATTTTGGGGTTGAAGGCCTGGGGAGGCAAGTCTGGGCCGGGTGTGGGGGCCACAGGATCTTCCTGGGTTCTATCAAAGTGTAGGCAGTACCTCACTTCCAGACAAGCTCTGCGTTTCCCTACATGCCCTGCCTTTCAAGATGCCTTGAAAGGCCAGAGTGAGTCTGCCCATAATTTAGGGCCTGAAGGCTCCTCTAAGGGTAAATATATCACCCCTGTCCTTCTGGCTCACGGGGTGTTTATCAGTCACCTCGGGGACCAGCTTGTCCCTGAAGATCCAGGAAGGCTTTCTAGGAGTCAGCATGGCTCCAGTGACTGGACGAGACCCTCTGCGTAGCCTAACAGAGGATCCCTAGCCAGCTAATCCCCAGGAAGTCGGGCCCTGGATCTTCTCTCTACCTGCCCTTTCACTCAGCAAGCCCCTCCCATTTCTGGTGAGCGCCAGGAACCTCAGCCCAAGGGCAAGAGCCTCCAGGCCAAAACAATAGAAAAGTCCGGAATGTCTGTAAGGGGAGGGCTAGGAACTACGCTGTGCTTAAGGCACTGGCCAAGGGAGCAGAAGTTACATCCCTTGAATTTTTTTAAGTTTAAAAAGTAAAAGGATGCCGTTTTAAAATTACTTTCCTGTGCAAGGGACATGACTGGGGGACTGGGGTGGGGGTGGGGAGCTCATAGCCCTGGTTCCAGGCTTCTCAGGTTCCTGGCCTGTGTGTCTTGTGCCCTTTCACTGACTCCCAGTTTAGAAACCAAGCCGCGCGTGCCGGCATCAAGCCGTCAGCAGCCCATCCTCTCCACCACGCATGTGTCCAATCACTAGGATGAGAGTGTCACGCGACAAGGGTAGGCACGAGAACCATAGCATGCTCGGCCTGTGTCCGGAGCAGGACGCACGTCCTGGGCACCGGGCCAGCACAGCAAAGGGCGCAGGGACGGGGACTGGCCTGTCCCAAAGGTCGCGGGCAGTGCATCCCGGGCGCGGAGGGAGGGCTCATTGGCGCCGCCGGGGCGGGCAGGGAGCAGACACCCAGGGGACACCGCTGGGACTGGGCTGGCGCCAAGAGGACACGGGGGGCGCACTCACCCTCCCTGGTCTTCTTCTTCCTCGCCAGCGTGCCGCCCAACTTGCCCAGGAAAGACTCGTCCTTCTTCATCTTGGGGGCCCTCGGGGTGGGCGATCGCGGTGGCGCGGAGGACATATGTGAGTGCGCGCCACCCACCGCTGGCCGGGGAGTGGCCAGGAGGGCGCGGCTGCGGCTTCCCCGCCCCTGCCTACTGACCTCGAGGTCCCGCTGCTGCAGCTGAGCTCCCCGCCCGCAACGCAGCGGGACCCTGCGCGCGGTGCCAGGCACCACCGCCCCCCTTTTGTGCGGCCTCAGCGTGCTGGAAGCCCAGAATCAATGAGTCCCACAAATATGTAAAGTCAGCTGTTGAGTCTCTGCCAGGATCCCGGGCATCCCTTATTGGGTCGATGCTTGGTGTGTAGTGGGTGCCTTTGTGGGACAGTGGCCTCACAGAGCGACCCTTCCCCCAAGGCAAGCTCAGCCAAAGGCTTCCACGGGAGCATGAAGAACCAGGAAGGGTACCTGGAGGAAGAACGCAGGCCCAGGGAAGGATATTAGGCTACGATGGCCAGGTTTGAGTTGCACAAAATTGACTTGTTGCTGAACAGGAGACGGTGAACAGGGATGAGGTCAGGCAGGGAGGTCTACTATGAAGGGAAGTGAAAGACACTGGGGATAGAAGCTGAGGCGAGCTTTGGCAGAGGGAAAGCCAGATGGCCCGTGGCTGCAGGCGCAGGGTGGGTGCATGGCTCAGCAGAGATAGGAGCTATCAGGACCTGGGCTGGGGTGAAGCTGCCACACCTAATCATAGGGTGGGAGGGTGGGAGGTGGTTCCCTGGGGTGGGGGTGGGGTGGGGGTGGTTCCCTCTCCCTTTGTGCAGGGCTCAGAGCCTCGCTCCCACCCGTGAGCGATTTCAGTTCAGTGCAGGAAATATTTACAGTTCACATTGGCAGAAGGGGTGGCCAAGCTGCCCTCGCCTTGGAATTCGTCATGGAGAATGGGGGTGCCCAGTGCCTATGGCGTTACTAGCCAATCGTGGAGTAGGGGCAGTGGAGACTCCAATAGGAGGAGGAGGAGCAGAGGGCCAGGATTTAGGAAGAAATAGGGAAGAGAGAGTTGTTAGGGAGGCAGAGTTTGCAGAGACATAGTTTCCCTTCACTCGGAGAGAAAGAAAACTCAGAGGCAGGGACAGTCTTCTCTCACGCAGCCTAGGTCCTGGCTGCTCCTGTCTCTACAAAGCCACCTTTCCACTCTCTCGGCATCACAGGCCACTTGGCTTTTCCTGGCCTACTCCTCAGTGCTGAGGCTGCTTCCCTCCTAACCATGGGGGAGCCTCTGAGACCCCAGGATCAGGGAAATCTCAGAACTGCAAACTCCCTGTATCCCATGGGACAGTTAATCTGATTGTCAACTTGATGAGCTCTCGGATCACCTTGGAAACGAACCTCTGGACATACCTAGCGGGTTACCTACTCTGGGCAGGACTGTCCCAGGAGCTGGGCCCCCAACTGAATAAAAAGCTGTCATGGCTATTCTTGGTTATCCATTGGACCACATCTGTAATTAACTAAAACCTAAGTGGCTGGGCGCACCTGGGAGGGATTTTTCTTAATGACATCACTTGAAGTGGGAAGAACCACGCTAAAGCCAGACCTTTTGAGGTGGGAAGATCCACCTTTAATCTGGGCTACTTCTTCTGCCTGCAGCTTATACAAGGGACATGGAAGGAGGAAGCTTTTTCTCCCTTCTCCTGCCTTCCCTTGCTCTTGCTGGCAAGGCTGTTCCTCCACTGGCATCAGAGCCCAGTTCTTCCGGATTCTGGCACATACTGAAGACCAGCTGAGACATCCAGCCTCGTGCACTGAACAAGTACTGGATTCTTGTACTTTCCATTGATAGACAGCCATTATTAGACGAGCTGGGACACAGCCTATAAGCCACTCTAATAAATCACTCACACACACACACACACACACACACACACACACACACACACACACACCATCACTTTTGTTCCTCCAGAGCAACGGTGAATCCTGACCTCTTTGGGGATCAAATGACCCTTTGCAGGAGCCACCTAAGACCATCAGAAAACACAGATATTTACATTACAAACCATAACAGTAGAAAAATTACAGTTATGAAGTAGCAATGAAAATAAGTTTCTGGTCGAGAGTCATCACAACATGAGGGACTGTACTAAAGGGTTGCAGCAGGCTGGGCGGTGGTGGCGCACGCCTTTAATCCCAGCACTCGGGAGGCAGAGGCAGGCAGATCTCTGTGAGTTCGAGGCCAGCCTGGGCTAC